GCTTCTGGGCCTTTTATTTTCCCTTTTTTTTCGGCTCATTTAATACTAAAACGACGTCGTTTTGGCTATTTTAAGCCCAAAAGTACCTGACGCAACTTTTCTTTTCCAATTTCATTTAATGTGGTCGGTACTCTGCTGTGGGGGCCCGCGGTCGGTTCGTGACGCAATATTGCGTGACCAACCTTTTTTTATTGTTTCTCTCTCATCTCCCTTCCTTCTCTCACCTCTTTATTGTATTGGGCCCCAGCTCCAAAAAATTGTCAGCCGCACTCCCAATCTTCTTTTCTCCCCCAACAAATTTCTCTAGCTTTTAATTTTTTTTAATCTTTTCTCTCTCATGACTTCATCTATTTCCTTCTCTCACCCTTTTCTTTTTCATTTTTCTTTTACCCTACATCTTACATAAAATAGTGCATAAATTATCTCAATATGTCCAAACATTGTCCCACGTGGCCCCAATATCAATACTTTCCTTTTTTTTTTCTCCTCTTATTTTATAGTAGTTCAATCATTTAATCCAAAATAATATTACAAGAATTTTTTTTTCTATTTAAAATATATTTTAGGTTCAATTTATTTACAACTTAAAAAGATTTTATTTTAAATCCGTATATGCTATTGTGTGGACCATTTTTATATTACATTCATGGTCCAAATAGAACCCATGCAAATAATGTTTGAAATTTGATATAATTTTTTTTTCTTTCAATAACATAAAACAAAAAAAAAAAAACAAAAAAAATATATATAAATAATGGGCAAACAGCACCGCGCATTGCGCGGTGCACACCCCCTAGTATATATATATGTGTGTGTGTATGTGTGTGTATGCTTGAGTAGGGGTATATGCCTTCAAAGGAGTAGGATTCCTTCAAATGCCAACAACGAGCATTTCTTCAGCGTTAAGGATCGGAATGTCTTTTTGTTGGAGAGCCACCGCGCAGCGCCTGGCCTCGCTCATCGCCGTCATCGTCTCTTTGTCGCCGCCGGGCGGAGACAGCCCGTTAGCGGCATATGCCGCTTTGAAGTCAATCTTTGCCTCATCGAAGAATCAAACATCTTTAGAAGAAAAAAGAGAGATGGAAAATTTCTGGCTCAAAGAAGAATCTGACAAGTTGATGTTTTTCGATTTATTGATCAAATAAGAATCTGACAAGAGAAGGAAATTTCATGGCAGCTGAGAAGGAATATTATGAACAAGGAACAAGAAAAGTAGGTTGTGCAGTCCTCTAGTGCATGAAAGAGTTCAATTTAATTAACCGTTGATTTTTCTAACAATATCAGTTGGACTATTATATATGAACCATTAGTTTTGGACTATTATATATGAACCAGACTATTTATATATGAACCATTATATATGAACCATTAGTTTTGAACTATTATATATGAATCATTAGTTTTGTATTCCAGTCGAATGTGTAGTTTGAGTCGTCTTTCCTATTGA